TGGAACAATATCAAAGCGTTACATCATTGGCTTAGTTGGGAAGATGCAGTTCTACCCCAAGAACACATAACCAGGGTCAAATCAACAGCTGTGACGTCAGCAGAACGTGACCTCCCAGCAGCTGAGGCTTGTGGTTTCGTTTCACGCTTTAAAGTGTGCCTTTGGCCTACACCAGGGGTTCCAAACCGCAGCCCGCGGGACACATGAGACTCACCTAGTTTTACGCTGCTGGCGTACCTTAGTTGTAATGCCGTGCTAACCTGTGTTATGCAAAATAAGTACCAAGTGTCAGAAAACAGCGCTTGTAAATGTCGTCTGTATTTCGCAGCTCGTGTAGCTGTTTTCATCTGTTAAGATCAGTGCAGGACGACAAATTGGGAATTGCAAAAACCAAAATTAAAGCTGATGTTGAAAGGTTCGTCATGCAATAGGACTGTCAAGTGTCTCACTAATGACCAGTTTTGTTAAAAAATGTTGATTATAAAATGAATCTATTTGCAATAGGTAAGTTTTTTGGGCCTATAATATGGTATCATTTTAATAAATCGTCTTAATTTATAACTTCGGGGCCCGCGAGTTGAGTAAAGCTGTTTTCAGTTCTGCTGCATGGCTTTCCTTTAAACTGAGAACAAGGCTCTGAGGATAATATTTGAAAACGACGGAGAAGAAGGACAGAGAATAATTAAATATGAAAATTTTCATATTCTTCACCAAATATTGTTAGGGCGATAATGTGCATATATATTAAGTAGGGTTTGAGGTTTTAGGGCGGTGAGTGTAAAGACGGCTTTCTCCTGGGTTGTAATGCTGTGTAGTCTCGTAGAAGTTTGCCCGCGTTTCAGAAGTCCTTGCTGCCTCCATAATCAGGCCGATGTCTTGTATTCGTACATTTAAATCGGAAAACCTGAATAAAAGAGAACACTTGAAATACTGAGGCGCAGGCTAGAAGATAATATTAATATGCATTTTGCATAAATAGGTTGTAAATTGGAGCAACTGGCTTAGAATAGAATCTATTGTATGGTTTTTATGAACACGGTAATGAAACTCGGGGTTCCATAAAGACGTCTCAATAACCTGAACAACTCTGAAAGGATTCTGCTCCGTGGAGTTACTTTAGTTATTTGTGACAGTAGTACGAGGAGGATGGATTTTGAACTTCGTCGCACAAGGCTGCGCGCTAATTCCGCTCCAGTTTAATGACAAACAAATCGGGAGGATCTGCGAGTAGAAACATGAAGTAGTTAGTGACGTTAAGAGGGGCCAGCAGTAGCTTTTCAACGGCCACGAGAGATTCCAGTTCAACTCCTGAACGTGAGTCATCGCAGTCCAAGTGATTTTCATAGTTAACAGTAGAAAATGCGTGATTCAAGAAGGTGGAGGTCTGGGTTTTCTATTCTGGGATTCAACGAACAAGGCGGTAGCTGATGGTTGTGCGGTGGCAATGTTTATCACGTGATGAGACTCCAACCAATCAGTGTCAGTCTTCGTCGCCGCTACTGCACACTTCTGTAGCGCTTTCCACATTCTTTTGTGTGAAAGCGTTATTTTGTTATTTGGTGTTATTGAAAGTTTACTGTGGTATAAATATGGGAACCAAATAGCTTAATTCAAATGCTTGATTTTTCCAAGAAAATTTTAATATTTACTTTGTGCTAGGTTTAATAATTATAAGAGAGACGCGGAGAATGTCGGACTTGTGAACAGTGTCGCCAAGTCACCAGAAAACAAGTATAAGAACCGATAAATTTGTTCGATTTTAGCTTTGTTTTCCTTGGTGCCACAATCCTTCACTCACCCTTCTTGTCTGAAATCTACAATAGCTTGAATTATGAAGGAACGTGATGTTTGATTATAAGTGCTGACATTTTTTCTTTTAATGTTTTGAGAATCCCTTTCTGACCAGTCGTTGTAACCGTGAGGAAAGAGTCACCAGGCAAGACCGAAAACCTACTCACTTGTACATTTTGGTCATATATGTGGTTTGTCAAAAGAATGTGTACATTTCTTGCTTACCTTACGCGTGTATATATTCTTAATTAAATTATCCTTCCATCATTAGGCGGAGAGTACAAATTTTACAGCTTTCGATTAGGTAATTTTTTACATTCTTTTGCTTTTTGATCTTTGCCTACCTACTTCCAAAATATACGTTTATTCAATAAATTTTAAACATGTGAGTAACATATTGAACACATTAGCGCACGTTACAGATTTGTAGTTTCAAAACCGAATTAGGGAGAGCAGGGTAGGAAAATAGCAAGGATATTAAAATACAACGATACAACTTTATTAATAGCACATATTTGTGACAATAAATTATTCTAAAATCACTTTATTCTATTATCTACAATATAGGAATATAAAAATTTAGAAACACTTTGTTTCGTAAATACAATACGTAACAGTGTATAGTTTACATTCTACATATACTAAATTACGGTGAGAAATAATTGTCGTGCTGCCCTGGAATATTATTATTATTTAACTCTTTTTATTTATCATAATATAAAATATAATATAACTCTCGTGTTCAGTAAAATACTATGGGAATGATACATAGACACTTTACAAATTAATTGACAGCAAGAACCATAGAAACTCAAAATTCGAGGATGTAGCAACACATAAGTGTGTGAAATCAAACCATAAGTTTCTTCCTCTTTCGTCACAGTGATTCGCCGTGAGCATCTAGCACACATCATACACTGCTGTGAAGTGGGTTGCATGTACGTAAGGGGTAGCGGACTGGCACTTTGACAAGTTATACTTGTTTCTAGTAGGCTCACAACAGATTTGATACTCAGCTTTATTTTCAATTACTGCTAAGTTATATGCTTTGTAAACTGCCCTCAAAACGCAGGACTTAAAAAGAAAATCAGTCCAACTGCAGATAGAATGAGATGCGTAGTGTTCTCTTAGAAATATCAGAGAGACGCAGTAAGTTGGAAAGAGAGTTTTTATTTTCCCACAGATTTTAAGACTTCGGTCAAGATTAAGTCAAAACTTATATTAGTTCACTGATATATTAACCTTCTGAATTTTAATATGGAGGCCAAGATATGGTGTCTGAAATGGGCATGGGCAGTGGAAAAATAATTGCATTCTGAACATAGTTACAGCCCATATTTAATAGACATTTGTGTAAGTCCTGAAACACAATAACTAACTTTGCACAAAGTTAGTACAAGTGAAAGGGTCCAGACGGGCAGTTAAGATAACTATAATAACGACAACAGATCCTTTGTGCAGTTCTGTTTTGTTTTTCTTTTAAAAGGAAGAATAAGGCACCGAAACTCAGAAGACTGCTCAAACTTTAACGCCGTAAATAAATACATCAACTCTCACATAGAAAATAAAATTTCTTGTAAAATTTGTAAAAAGGTTAACTGAAGGCAGAATTATTTCAGCTTATGTTTCATACTACAAGATGCTACAGCTGGTAAAAAAAGCCCTATGAAATAAAGTATTATGATAAAATCGAATCTCCAGTAATTTTGTACAGAATTTATATTTGTGCGTTATTCTAACACAGAGCCGGGGGTTGTGATCCTGCCGAATTAGAGCCTAAGATATCTGAAACTGTTCAGATAATTTGTATTCGCCTTGTGGTCGATAAGCATTTTAACGACGTAGGCCTATATTGTTTACAATTAATTACACAAATTAAGAATATTATATAATTTCTAGACTACTAACGTTATTCACTATTATCGAAGTGTTTCTAGTAATATCATAAAAGAGGAAACAAAGACTTTCATTTTAAACTATATATTGAGATGTGTAACATAGAAGCTAGTAAATTTTAATGCTACATATGTCTTTCAAGCATAATTTCTGAGTATCATGGACGTTTAAGTTGGCTTGATTTTACTCTGATACAGGCGATCTCACTTGTTTAAAGTATCATGCAAATATTAAATAAAACAAATTAAATGTAACAGACTGAAAAATCAACTAATATTAAATAAAACATCAAAATGCAAACAAAACTAAACATAATATATTTATGTTTTAAAGAGACACGAAGAGAATAAATGAAACATGACTAGGATACATAGAATTATGACAAGCACCAGACATGGTGGCTGTGGAGAAATATAAATAACACACTGTTGGATTTAAACGTAAACTAGTATGTTAGAAAATAAAAGAAACATAAATGTACAAATCAACACAAAGTCAAGGAATTATATAAATGTAAAAATTAAGTACAGGCAAATTCATCCCTCGCGTTTGTCGAAAGGATAGAAAATCGGAGCATTAGCTTCTGGTAGCGACTTCCAAATGACATAATTAACCGCAAAGCATGAACTCCCGAATGCGTAATTCTGAAGCCATAAATCAGTTTTTACTCTCAGCTGAGAGAAGTGAATGTATTAGTTGACCTGAAGGTGCTGTAGGGATGCCTCTGTGTTTTTGTAGAACAGGAAAAGTTTCACACATATTTTAGTTTAACATTACCTCGAAGTTTTTACTATGCATGAGAATAAAATAACGTGTATTCATTAACCAAAATTAATTTTAAACAATTTTGTATGGAATACCGGAACTGTACATAGTTACTACCTTTGAAAACGAAGTAAAATGTTGGCGCAAAACATAGTCTATAGCGCGTAGTAAAGGACATGGATTGCTTCTAAGGAATAAGTGATGATGATGAGATCTCAAGTTTTAGCGACGACTGTGAAGATGGGACCAAACTCCTCTGAAACGTCGGTCACAGACTACGGAGCGCAGCATCCCAAAAGACACACACTGAAGATACTACTTTGACCTAAGAGCAAGAAACAGGAGCTTTATAATTTTTACCAAGTGTTGATGTGTGTTCTCTAATCCTGGTGGGAAGAAACCACTTAGAAGACCTAGTCGAAGATGGGAGGGAGGATGTGGACTAGATTCATGTCAATCAGGACAGACACCAGTGACAATTTGTTATGAAAATGGCAGCGAATCTTTGGGGTTTGTAATACGTTCGAAATATCTTGACTAACTGAGCCATCGTAAACTTTTCAGGAAAGAGTCTGCTCCATGGAGTTGATCAAAGCGAAATGAAGTCAATCTTCCGAATTACCCTTGCCTGTTTTCGAAAATACCAGTAACTTAGCACCGAAACAAGTGCATCCATTTCGACGCGATGGGACTGAGATGCCGACATTACGACTAGGATAATACTCGTCCATTTAAAATAAACTCGTTAATGTTAGTTTTGTGTGCAACTCTGGCCCTCATATTTTGGCACTCGAGCGATTTCCTTCAGCAGTCGGAAACTCGCACCAGTTCCTTGGTCGACTGTATTTTAAAACCCCGGATTTGCACACACATGTGCACCCTTCAGTAGCAGGGAAACCCTGTTATCTATTAATAGGGTCCTGCAACCGACTTAACGTGGGACAGGGGTGTGGATTCTGTTCCTTGGAGGAAGCCTACAGAAGTACGCGAACTCAGGTGATTGTTTAATAAATATCACGTCCTGTGGTAAACAAAAATATTGATAGACACTCGATCAGTCCTACGTCTTAATTATTTATGGTTTATGTGACGACACTTTCAGTAGCTGAGACTATAAAACGTCGAAGCGGTCGTGGTTTAACTTGAGATACTACCCCAACCTGAAACAACCACGAACATCCTCAGTCAGGATATCAGCTCTCCGAAGCGATACTTGAACTAGGATATCCCAGAAATGACGCAGCACTGCCAGCTGCTCGACTACAAAGTTCGGTCATTCATTCCTATGTCAGTACACTACTGCCATATATAGCTCATCAGGGAAGTTTCACGTAAGGAACACTTAAAGTTACCAAGTATAAGCCTTTTGCTTCTGCCATGTTTTTCGTATTTAATCTAGACAACAGTAGAAACATTTTTCTTTTATGAACATCTTTGACAAATCATCCTGCCGTTCGGTCTACATACCCCGAACTATGGAGGTGAAAAGTGTCGTTAATTAAACTAAGAATATTGCAGTTGATAGCTTACATTACTGGCCTTATGTTGATGTATATTTGCACTTACATAAGTACTATGTAATTTAGTGAGGATAAATTCTTTATTTGTATTTTTCAGAAATGAAGCTTTTTGACAGCCCTGGACGTTTCGTCTTATGCATCGCGTGTCCAAGCTCACCCTCACACCGCACCGCGCTCAGCCGCAAATATTTCAGCTTACTGACGTAACGAAGGCAATATGCACCCGGCCAAAGCTCTTTGCAGGCAAGCGGCAAATGAGCGAGGGAGAAATGCTGCCCTATTTGGTATCCAGGAGGCCCCAGCTTCTTGGCCTTATACTCTGTTATCATGACTGAGGTTTCTCGTCGGTTTCCGTAATCCTTCCATGTAAATATTTAAATAGCAGTTTAAAATATTCCACGACCACTTCTTGTCATATCCTTTATGATTCATTAAATAAATTATGTATAGCAAGATAGCGCGAGCTGGCAGTTTTAACAATCATATAGACAGAGCAATAGAATATATATGTTGCCTTACCCTTTCTCTGCAGTGCTCTTAAGGGCGCAAAAGAACATTTATTTTAAAGAATTTCAGTGAGAACCAACCAAACCTGCACGACAGGAGGCAGAAAATGTACCAGTCATGTTTATCCTAAAGAGTGGAGATTTGTTCATACGACATTTTCATTCACATTGCTATAAACCCACCAAGCTTTTGTCATTTTAATTTAATAGAACAGTTGAATTCAAAAACACGCAAGAATATTAGACAAATTTAAAATTTTTAACACGTGTTAAGTTTTCGCTATTAGCTCCGCACTTTGTAAGTATCAATATTCCATTCATTGATAATGAATAAAATATTCAGAAACATTTTGTTGCTTCATCATTTATAATGACTTTAATTATCACAAAATTAAATTATGTTTTCGTCTGTGGAAATAAAATGAGCAGAGATCTTCCCCCCCCCCTTGACCACCGCAGGTCCAGAGTAGCACACCGCACAGTAAAACTTAAAAATACCATAGAGGGCTCTGTGTACAGCAGCAGTTTCGTTACCTGATAATCTGCAGCGTGTACTTCGGTATACAAAGGAGTTTTAGCTTTGAACTCTTCCCGTATAAATGGTTTCTGCTTACTGGTATAAAATGGAGATTTCATCTGATTACCTCCAAGCTAGGAAAAGGACATATGGAAACCACCATATCAAAATCTCAAGTCCTTCAGCATTCTCGGAAGAAACTAATTATAAACATCAGGCAACGAAGCTGCTCATTATTATGATGTTTACTTAATCCTGCAGTTTAAACTATTGTGTTAAGTAGTCTAGATGTAAGACGTATTTGTTAAAACTTGACAACTAATACACATAATGCATTAAATAAAAATTAATATAAATTAAATTAACATGTAGGCACAACTGAAGAACTTACAGAACATAAATATGAATATTAGCTGCCTATTGAAGGACTTCCATTGATATATACTATAGCACCTGGTCCAAGAAATGACATGGCATATGTTGAATCATTCCCGTTTCAATAAAGGCACATTGGTGCGGCTTTTATACACAGTTTTGTGACTGAAAGGCTTTATCTCTCTGTATATATAAAGTAACTACTGGAAAATATTTAGAAATATCAGCACAACATCATATAAAAATAATAATTATCTTGTCACCATTCTCTGGCCACGTTCAGAAGGAAGATAAAAACATGCACTTTTCTGGTCCCATCATCAGGAAATCATTTTTGCATTTAAAACACACCGACAAATCTATTCTAATTGAAGAGATTTATCAAACTCTTCTGTTCCTAATTATTACATTGTCTAGAGGAACGCTAGAATAATGTTCCACACTTTCGACCGACAGTGAGGAAACTTCCAGAGACCTTTTTCAAACACAAAGAAAAGCTATCAAGTTCTGTCTTATGCGGAAAGATTTTTGGATGTTCGCATTTCCACAAACCTTTTTTACTTCTTTAGAATTAATTAATTTGAACATAATAATGACCAGATGTGAAGCAGCATACCTTGTATTATAAATACGCACTCCTACGTGTGTATACATTTTTAACATCGTGCAAGGATTTTTTCAACTCTGATAAAATCCAATTATGTCAGTAAAATTTTGTCGGCTTTCACTCGCTTTATTTCTGTGCTGTCTTCATGTAAAGGACTGTTGTGTTCTTAACCGTCTATAGTCGCTGTTTCATGTTCGTATTTTGACAGGCAATTCAAATATTCAACGTCAATTGCATGCGAAGTTTGAATATTTGCTCACATCGATATGTACTGCCAGATACTGACGACATTAGCAAAATCCTTTTTCTAATGCCAGGTAACCATTTCATCTTGCAGGATGATATAGTTACACAGCAAAATGTACTCGGGCCACACAAAACACATTGGCGGGCCGCGGGTTGTTATCCCCTACTACAGACTGTTAAGAAGACAACGTCAGTCTGTCATCTTCGTTGGCCATCGTTCAAATACACATTCGATTTTTGACTTATGCCTTAAATAGGTCACTCTGTACAAACTCGTATTCATTGCATCCAATGTTAATTCTTGAATTGAAGTTCCCTGTTTTCTTTCGTCTTGAGCCGTAGCTTAAATTGGCTATCTTCCTTCAGACGGTGATGGCAACGCCGAGGACTCTCCCCGGGAGAGGCACGGATAATGTAGGCGGAGGCAGCAGCTTGGACGAGGCACTGTGAAGCCTCATACAGGAGGACTCCTCGTGCTTGTACAGGTAGGACTTCAGCGCGAAAGCCTTTCCACAACGACCACACACGTGTGGCTTGGTATGAGAGTGCGTCTGCACGTGCGCGCGCAGGTTCGACTTGTCGGCAAAAGCTTTTGTGCAAATAGAACACTTGAATGGCTTCTCCCCTGCAAGATGAGGATCTCATTTCAGGCTATTTACTATTGCCATTATTAATTAGTGTTACTATAAATTATTATTTTGTTATTGTTATTATATGGCGCTAGTAAGATAAACACACACAAAAGTAGCAGGTCTGTGTGTTTATGTTTAATAACTAGAATGCAGGACAAAAACATGATATCAAGGCAGCTAATAAATATTTTGAAACTGACTCTGGCAAAGCTCAGTCATTTTGGAATTACTAACACAAAAATTATATCCACGACGTTGAAGTAGAAAGCCGGGAAATACTTGGTACCATTCAGTTCAGAAGAGTTTTCTTTCCGTCTCGTATTTAAAATACACGATTAAATGTTATTTTGTGCGGGCCTCAGACTCGCTGTCGTCCAGACGGAAGAACGTGGACTGAGGGTGTTTGAAAACAATGCGCTAAGCGGGATATGTGGGTCTAAGAAGAAAGTGGTAACAGAAGGCCGAAGAGAATTGTACGATTGATTTGTATTCCTCGAATATTTTTGCAACGATCAAAAGGAGGATGAGTCGGGCGGCGAATGTAACACAAGGAAGATGAGAATTGCTTAAAACATTAGTCGGAGAAAATGAAGGGAACCTATCAGTTGGGATACAAAGGAGTAGATGGGGGTATCATATTAAGATGGATCTTAAATTAATGGTTTGTGATGTGGACTGAATTTATATGGTTGAGGCAGGAACTGATGGCCGGATTTTGTGAACACGGGGATGACCTTGGAATTTTGTAAAAGCAGCGGAATTTCTTACTAGATGAGGACTCTACTTTATAAAGTTGGTTACCTACTGCTACTGTTGTCAATATTCCGAGCTTATTTGACGCATAACTTATGTAGGGATAAGAAGTAAGTAAAGTTTGTCCCACCATACGCCATGTAGGCATTTGGGGTGAGTGGAGGTATAGCTCCTCTCTTCCTTGACCTCGGCACTAAATGGGGGTGAGTGGTCAGCATCACGCCCCGGCCGGCTTTACCCCCGGGAAAGGACCCCGGTACTAATTGTAGAGGAGGCTGGGTGGGCCCCAGAGCCGGTCTGGACGCAGAGACTAGAGGAAAAATCCTCCGCCCCCGTCGGGGATCGAACCCCGGAGGGATAAGAAGAGTACTGCTAAATAAGTTATCAGTCAGTCATTTGACATGACAGTCATCCTTGAATATTCGTACTTCTCAACACCTAAAATCATGAAATATGACAAGATCCTCTATTCTGCTTGCATCTTTTTGAGCACCATTAAATACCAGAACTGCAGATATTTAGCAGGGAATAAAATACGATGCTTATTATGAATTAGAATTATATGAAATGAAACCATCACGCCTTAGTTTAAAATACCATCCTTTGGATGTGAAAAAAAGGTAGCAAGTTTATGAAAACCGTGCAGATCAGAATATAAGCGAGAAGCCCATTGGCTGAACAGAATGAACATGTTCAGTCTATACTTATGCATGGGTTGAATTTTATATCGTGAAGTACCGCAGAGATTGAAAAAGGTTTTCTTATTGCTGTCGGCACGGAGTTGGTCCACTTGCCGTTTAAATATAGATTCCTCACCGTGAGGTGCATGCGTCGTAAACTGTTGAGGAAATTCTTCTCTCGTGTTCCGCGAACTGAGCTTACAGGAGAAGTACCTGTGTGGGTCCGGATGTGTCCCTGCAGGAGCCAGGGACGAGAGAAACACTTGCCACAGTAGGGACATTTGCAGCCTTGGTTGTGGGTCCTCACGTGCATCGAGAAGGCAGGCATGGACACATACACCTTATCGCAATGGGGACAGCGACGGGCTTTCTTGTCACCCAGTGATCGATGGGTCTGGCGGTGACGTGCGAGGTTACTGGAGGTGCTGTAACGTTTTCCGCAGTCAGGGCAGCCGTGCGCCTCCGACTGAAACAAGTGTTCCGCTCGAAAACATTAATTCTGAAACATTTGTAGAACTGTTCTTTCAGTTCACAATTTACCCAGATTCAAATCAAACCAATTCAGATTGTGGTCTCCTGGGTTGTGACAACATGTAGTCATGAACATGGTTACAACACTTTTGGAGGAATCTACTGAATTAATTTTTATTTATATCCTGTAAGACAGCAGGTTTCTTTGAACAGGTGGTAGCCACCAACACAAGACGACACTGTCGCTGCCCACAATATAATTATCAAAATTTTCACACCAATTGATTCGGTTTATATAACGTCTGCGTTTGAAACAGCTTCAATAATCTATCCATCGACCAACCGGTAATAGGCGAAGCAGGTGGTTTCTGCTTGTACCTCTGTTCCTTCTTCAGGAGGCCTCACTTCCCCGTAGCCTCGTGCCGTCTCGGAGTGCAGCACGTGGTGGCTGAAGAGGTGTCCCGCTGCAGCCGCGAGGCTCACCTCTGCCAGCTGAGTGAGGTTGTACAGCTCAGGGGGACAGTCACCATGCCCACCGCCTGGCTCAGCGACGCTCACGCTCCTCTCTGGGCTGCTATCTGCCGACGCACAGTTCAACAAAGCATTACACTCATCACATCACTCATGTCGTTCTCGTACCTAAATATTTCTCGTGATCGCCATGCTTTGATATATTTTTAAAGACAGAATTTAAGTCCACATATGTAATGTGGCTGTGAAATTCTATCCTCACAAATTTGCGTGGCAATCCTACTGGTGGTGTTGATAAGGAGGTAGAATGTTTCAACTTTCGGTGATAGAAGCATCTTCATATCAGTTTCAGGAAAGCAGGACTAGTGTTGCGTATAATAAGATATTATTGTCCATACTGCTAGAATCAGGTAACGAATGGACACATGCAAGAATGATCTATGTTCCATTGAACACTTTCTCCTCTCGCCAATACAGATTTATCTTGACTTGGAGTCTATCGTCGTTATCCGTGAAAATGAATGGTTTACGGTGCAATCAACGGGTAGTTCTGTATGGTTATAACTGGGTTTTATGGTTTGCTTTTCAGTGTGTAAGAGAATATGTTCCTTCAACTCTTGGGGGCTTCAACATTTTCCTGTGGTCAGAACTTAAAGGTTTCCGACGATGGTGACTTACACCCTGTTAAATTTGTCTAATCTCTATAGACGTCATCAATATAAAATATAACATACGAATTAAGATAACGCATATTACTATTAGTAACCGCTCGACTTGAAGCAGAATCTTTCTTGAGATACTTATAGTTGCTCAGCTGGTCAAAAAATTGTCCGCCTTTTATAAAACTCCATCTTGTTCAAGAACCCGCGACCGGAGTCCCTTCTGAACCTCTTAAATCCAATCTGCTCCACCACACCCTGTTTATTGATCTGTTTTAATGTAACAGTCTTGTCTACAGCTAGGTCTCCCATGGTGCCTCGTCCCTTTAGGTTTCTAGGTCTAAAATATTATACGTATTTATTATCTCGTTCCTGCTTGCTACATGTCCCTCTCGAAAGTCAAATTTGACGAATGTGAACACTTAACAGTTCGGAAAAGTTAATAGTTGTATTTAGCGAGTTTCTAATAATGTAACTTTTAAGGAAAGAAATTCCGGGCTGTGAAAGAAAATACAAATTATAAATAGGCTGAACAGTTCTAAGGAAAAGAGTGTGTTCAAGGTAGATGAAACCCATGAAGCAGGGGGGGGGAAATATACAAAGAAACTTTGTGACTAACTAGCTCGTCTGTTATTATTAGGATACTGAAATCTAGGATCTTACGATGGGCTGAACGTGTAACTTTGATATGGGGAACAAAATAACGACGCAGGAACACGGTTCATAAAAAATGGAGCTCGGTAACTTGAAAGACAGATAAGAAGATAACACTAAAATAAAACCCAGGAAAATAAATTTTAGAACGTGTACTGGATTCAACTTGTTCATGCACTTGCCCATTGATGGATCTTGGATAAAATTTCCGGTTCTCTTACCAGTAATTGTGTTGGTTAGTAATTTACTAGTTGGCATGTTAGCAATGCTCGAACCGATAATTGCGTCACTTGGCCTGTCCAGTCCTCATTAAACAGACTTCTTTGAAAACCAGCGCAGGGTGGCAGAGTTGTCTTCTGTACTCCAGAGTCGGTGCAAAGGTCAACGTAAGTCAGTTAAAACAAACATCATTGTTAATACCACTTACGGACTTAATTTCACAATTTATGGCATTAGAGCATGATCCGGGCTGAGAGATTTTCTAACTTGTCACCTGGTGTCATGGGCTGAAAGCCGTGCTGCAGTCCTCAAGATTAGTCAAACGTAACAACACCTTTACCAGGCACGCATAACCGCAGTTTCCGTACTCTTGAAGAAGCTCGCCGTCATATTTCGGCAACCATTGAATGCTCAATTAGGAGTAAGAGTAGAATGAGTGGAAGAAGAACGATTTCTTAGTTCCCCCGTTCATCCTATATCAGTCCATTATATTTGCCTTGTTGAGGTTATGTAAAGCGCAACGTGTACCCCTCAAAAGTGACGTATTTAAAAGTTAAAGAGGACGAATATCAGAAACTACGCAATACACGGTGAAGCGCACATGGCAACAGCTGAATTACAGTTTGAATGTATGCCAAGTTACAAACGGAGCTCGTGTAAAAATAATACATCGAAAATGAAAAAGTCAGATTTTTGTTCTTCTGTGTTATTTCATTAAATAAGCATTTTCATTTTAAATACTGGTTTTCTTTCATGGAAACCCTTTAGAATCGCTTAATCACTTAAAGTTGTATCAATAATCTGATGGATACGAAAAATAAAAGACTGCACAGTAAAAATCACTAAAGAAATACAAGAGCTTGCGGAGCCAACAGTTGGGTATCGATCCAATATCCGATGTTTATCTACGTCTTCGTTATTCTTGTAGTCATATAAGTGCCTTAGCAAACACGTTTAATTATAGGATACAAATTGTATTTCATCTTATAGAGCGAGTTATTCTGACCTCTGTCACGTCCTAGACGCCATAGAAAGGCAGACCCCGTAGAGTGAGGCCGTCGGGTCCTGCAGGTGGCAGGTGGCTGAAGGCACCCGTAAGGTGGGTGCAGGCACAGTGCCATGGCAGCAAGTTGTTGCAACAAGTGGAGGGAACGACGCCAGGGCACGGATGGAAGGGGGCGGATTTTGGGCGTTTGCCATCCATCGCCCCTGCACGTCTCTCTCTGACGCACCAGCATCTCTCTTCGTCGTCGTTTGCGTTCCAAAATTTAAAAAAAACGATAAAAATAAAGCCAGTGTCCCCATTCCTCGCTACCAACTGACGCACCCAAAATGTAACCAAATGACGCTTTTTTAAGTGCATCAACTGTTTGCACTTGTATTGACTGATTCTCAAGTTATTCAATACAGACTCCCTAATTATCTGAGGGTTTCCGTAATAAATTGTCCGCCTCATATCAGTGCTTCCTTGAAACTGTTAAGCTCAGCCAGTGGGTGGGCATACAACAGTGACATCGCGCTGTACGAATAATTGTGCACGAAGACTTGTATGAACAGGTAAGCCGAAGTCTGTCCGAACTTACCCTCTTGTGCTGAAGTTGGCCGCTCAGAGCACGTATCAATTATGCAAGATAGTGAGCAACCAATTTATCGTGCGCCCGGTCACCCCGAATCACCCCAGACGGCTAGATTGTGACCTTGGCTATCATGCCTGTGTACGTCCACGACAACTGGTTGCACGCGAGATGAAACCGTTGTGTAAGCACAGCTTTCGCAGGTAACCTCCTCTTTGCTGTATGGACTGGTGATGATTAACTCAAATAGTTGCCCTTCAGGTCACCGGACTTATTTGCAGGAACCTGTTCGTCTACGTCGCTGTAATGTATCGATGAACTTAAAGTTGAAATCCGAGGGATATGTGACGCATTTGACTGCCAAATGTTGCTCAGTGTGCAGACCGAGATTTATTACTCTTGTTATAAGAGCAGGGTTACCAACATTTATATATTATAAACCTTTAAAGACATTAAAAACTCCGCGTTATATTTTGTGTTCTGAAACTTTTACTTGCGCATATAGCTTCGAGTTTTACGAATACATTTTTAAATGTGGAAATATACTTTTTAATCAGTTTGTTCTTGTATGTACATACATATGTATTTTTGGCGGTAAGAATCAATTTTATAAACATTATTTAGATGCGTTTTGTTCTTTAGGATCTGAACCTAAGCCTACTTGATTAGACGCTGACGTGTAATTTTACAGTCTTCTGTTCTAAATTCAAATAAACATTCTTGTCAGGACTGTGTCCATTGTCTGTTGAAGGTTTTTTAAAGCGTCTTAAAAATCAAAACTTTCTCAGGATCTTTTTTCAGGTAAAAAAGAGACACCTGCTGTGTTGGATCCAGTGATCTTAATACGAAGGGAGATCCAACAGTCCAAACGCTGTGATTTTTAAGTTTTAAAAAAACTTTTTAACAGACGGTGTATAAAACAAAGAAAGTAGAAATATATCATGGCTAAAACGTTCAGACAAGAACTTGTCATGGTTTATATATACCTGTATTTCAATTGTCCTTTTGATTTCAGCAGGTGGAGCTGAACATTAGACATTTACGAGGCTGTGTTGGTGTAGATAAACAACGCACATGTCTGGGCACCATCTTGCACACGGCTGGTATTAATAGAGAATAGTGATGACCTCAGTTAGTTCCGATAGAACAAAAAAATTAGCGTGTGTCCAGTATTTGGGGATAAGAGCTTTCTTGCAAACTACCAAAAATATTATAGACCATTCACACAGTACAATATCGATAGAATACGACCAATAGGCTTAATGCAAGTGTCAGTGAATGCCACTCAAGAAAGGATTCATAGCAAGAAATTCCGAGAAGAACTCTTACAGCTTCCACTCTCTTTTAAACTATTCCATCAGTGAAGGAATAACACCAGAAATTTAAGTACGTAATGGTTATATGTACTACAACTTAATGATTATTGCTATATTTCGTAGTGCTCAATTTTACGTGCAATTTCCACTGGAGTAGAAGCCCACTACCTCAGTTTTTTAATATAGCCTTACAACATTTCCTTGTCACGTTTTCAGTTGTTTTAATCCTTGGAAGCCGAAGAGAGGAATTTAGGAAGGATAACAAGAGAGTAGAAACAAAGAGAAAATTTTGTCGGGAACGAGTGAGAGACACTTTATATTTTGGGGGGAGAGGGGAGAGAGAAGAGAATTTTATAGTTAGAAGATTCCCAGGTAATGCCCACTCGTCCTTCTGGTGTGGATAAATAAAAGTGGAGACGTTAGGGTGATAATTAGTGACAGCTTGCAAACAGAGACTTTGAAGCTGAAGCTGATCTAAATAACATGTAAGAGTATAATCAATTGGTTAGTGCTGTTTAGGGAAACAATAGCTATTTACTCCAAGAATCATGTTTTTCCCATCAATAAAATACAAACATGCTTTCACTTGTGTGCATAACCACTTGGAAGAACTTTTTGGTCACGTCTCCGAATGGAGGAGCGAAGGGGTTAGAGGTGTGTTCAAAAAAATGGAAGATAGTCGTAAACATAATTGGAGTTTATCCAAGTTATCCGGAAGTAACTGCATTAGTGATATTTTCAAAATTTCTTTCTCAAAATATCAGACAAAACTTGTGAGAATATCTAGCAGTTTAGTTAAACATTTTTTCGATGTTTTAAGTACATACTACATTCTTCTGAATTCGTCATTCACAGATTATCCTACTATTATCCTTACATTTCTTTAATGTCTTATACGTTTTGTATTTTCGGGAAAGCAAAACTCTAGGAAAGCGAATACTTAGAATACTTCTTGATTTGAAAGTCCTTCAAAATATCTGGCTAACTATACAGATAATAACGAAGATAATTATCTTATGGGTTTCTGCGCCAGGTAGTCTGACAGAAGTTTACTGACGTTCCAGGGGTATTTGCTGCCTCTATCATCAGCTATTGCGCTAATGATGGAGGCAGTAAGCACCTCTGAAGAGTCAATACACTGTTACATATTACACGACGAAGCACCCCAGAAGGCAGTCATCTTCATACTCGAGGCCGTAAGAACCTGAAATCCCACCTAGATAAAGTAGTCCAATTTTATGCTGTAACAGCAATGTGCAGCAGTGTACTAATTAGCCAGAGCTGTAGCAAGCAGCAGACCTTGTATTCCAAAGAGAATGGCGTGAAAATAGCCCAAGCCGGCTCAGTCTTCCTACGTACGACGTGGCACGACTTTTACATCGCGAACAATTGTATTAATGCGTCATCTGAGCTGTCCGCATGCAGGGTGTACTATTTAAAACGCGTCCCCTAAACAGTCAAGCACTAGGCACAAAATTCAAATCAGAATAAAACCTCAATTTACTAGACTCTCAGAACGTTCCCCCGTTACACCAAAGTGAACGTCACCCAAATTCCTAGGCCGCTGCCCACACCAGTCGTGGATGCAGGTACCAATATGGCGAATTATCGAACATAACTTCGCGTCGAAATCGTTCACTGCCGTTCATGTAGCATTTAGCAATCGCGACAAAGAAGTGCCGAATAAGACGACAGTACACCGAATGGTAACAGAATATCGGAACACAGGAAGTGTTTGTCTGTGTCAAGTGCACATCGAGCGGCAAAACATCTGAAATCATGGTCGAACCAATTTCAAACATGCATCAGATACAGCAATGAGACATGGCTAAAAGAATTCTATATTACCACTGGCTTCGTCCTTCTGTGCGTGAAGTGGTTCGTGCGTTTTAAATAGAACTCTGTGTACAGTCTACAGTTTTGTCCAATTGGATGTGGCATCCGCGTAGAAGTAAGAACGGTGTTCGAAATTCTGCATACTGCGCAGAGGAAAAACTTAAGTATGGAAAATTTGTGATTTCAATTTTGACAATCAGAATATAATCTCTGGACTCTCTGAGAATCACATAACATCCTTAAGTACAAAATGTAGAGTTACTGATTGTCAAAGTAGCTGGTACATATATTTACCATTCGACTTTAAAGGTATAATAGAGACATAGTTGACAGACTCAACGAAATTAATTCTTAGTTAAACTCTTTTATGGTCTTCCATTAAATGAAAACGAACACAAGTCACTGCAGTGGGATGTGACGTATGCTCTTTACATTTGTAGGCGTCAGCGTCGGTTGGACCTTCCGATGCGTCAACAGACGTGAATGTGTGGAGTTTGTTTGCAGCTGCTTAAGCTGCTTACCGCCGTGGAAGCTTATAGGGGTTTTCTATTGTAGAAAATGGCGGCATGTCTCTGGAGAGCAGATATTTAATGAAGGGCCACTTAACCCTTTAAACCCATCGGTAAATATATATCCCACCTACGTAAACTATCACTATGTTTGCAATATTATTTCTATATTTTGTATGATTCTCAGTGTAAAAATGGATTATTTCGTCAAAGTCTGAACCATTTTGATGACGATGCCTTATAATATGTAAAAACTGTTATTTTGTACTTTGTCTATCATCTAAATTATAAATTAACAGCACTCCGACTTCCGGAAGCTAGATTGTGCTTCCGAAAAATCTTAGTTTTGTTATTTAACAGTTAAGACAGTGCAGAAAGTCCAAGAGAACAACTTCGTAGGAATTATTTTCTTCATTCGCACTTAAACCTTAAAGGTCTAATAGGCCCGAGCTCTGAAATGCACTACGTAAGTAACAAATATTAGTTTTTCATATTTCAAATATTAAAACGGCCTTTCTTCAGAGGCTTGTTCGAAACATTTCGTATTCACGTATATAAAATGTTAAGTAACAAAAAAAGTTTCTATCTGTTGTCTTGTATGGGTGTGAAGCCTCTTAAGGGGAAAAAACAGGTGGAGGATGTTTGATGAGGAATTTTGAGGAGAATATTTAGATCTGAGAGCTAATAGTAAAAGGGATATAGATAAAATGACATAAGGCGAACTTTAACAAATATTATTATTGTGGCCAAGTAAGTGAAATGGTGGGCAAGACAGGTAGTATGCATGGGGAGTTGATAAACGAGTGCAAAGACTGGTCGGAAATCCTGAAGAGAAACAGAATATTTGGGATTTGAATATTCATATAAATTTAAAATAAATAGTGTATAAGTATGTATATTCACTGGATTAGACTGGTTTACTATCGACTCCAGTAGCGGCTTCCTGTAAACACCGTAATTATCCTATGCGTTCCAGAAAGGTGGGGAATTTCTGGGCCAGCTTAGCGATTATCAGCATCTCAAGTAAGGCTCCCCTCCACAGTGTTAGGTACGGACAATTGAATTCCTTACAGATGGAGAATTTTCTGACGAGCTAAGTGACTATCAGTTTCTCAACAAAGACTATTACTTCTTCAGTTACTGTTCTTTAATTTCAAACGCCGGCTTTAAATTTCGTCGGCGGGAACAATCGTCCATCAGGTGCTACCGACTGGTTCTGAAGCACGTACCTCTCTGCTCGTACTCCACCACTGTGTTGTAGCGGCGGTGAGTGATGAGAAACGCTCTGGGCATGGTTCTCGGAGGCTGCTGGACCGCCTTGTCCTGCTGCCTTCGCTCACACGACTGAAACACCGTCTTGAGCCGCGACGCGTGCCACAGAAGTCATTTGAACAGCCTCCCCACAGCACACCACCTCCTGTGTCGCGTGCCTTCCCCCCTCTAAAGAACACTCCCTCGCCTCACACGAGTGGGGCTCTCACAGACCTACGAAATGCATTATCTGACTTAGTATATTTTTGTATGAAAACTTTCCTGTTTTTACAGTATATACTGAATTACATTTTTCAGTAAATGCTCAGTGTTTATGTGTTCATGGCTATCCAGGATAAAACATGGATTACAGAAATATCCTGTGATCAGTGCTTATAAAACAGTCATTAAATATGAACTATGTCCATTCTAAAGGATTTTGACGACGGTAGTTTACACTTAAAACTATTCATTGTCAGGACTTTTTCCATCGTCTGTTCTTCAAAACCACGACGTTTCGGAGAGAGAACCAGCCGCCGAAACGTCGTGGTTTTAAAGAACAGACGATGGAAAAATTCCTGACAACGAATAATTTTAAATTAAATATGTCGTGTTATATAAAAGCACAGTCATTTGCCAACTATGTGTTTCTAAACACTTTCAGGGATATGCTTATGGATGAACACGACAAAATTAATATTTTGTATTCGTGTGTTGTCTGTTCCTTAAGAGCGTGTAATTGACATTACGACAATCTTGCTTCATTGCATTACATTTAAATTTGTTGCATTAATCTTTTAAAAGTAAGGCAATAAATTTATTTTTGCTGGTAGTTTGATAAATGGAATATAACTGAACTGAGTTGTCTGAATTTTGTCTTGAGCTCGGTGTCGGTCGTCCTATACTCCAGAACATGGCACGTAACTAATAATATACCAGAATATTTTTTCGTTCATTCCAAAATATGTCAGTAGTAGCAACATCTTAACCGAACGTCGAACACACGGAGACAGGCTATTTTGATGAGATTTCCATAGTTTTCTTCAGTATTTCCAGGCAAGTGAAACGACAGTACCTTAAACTAGACCACGGCCGCTTTATTCCATACTATTTACAATTCATTACTCATTAATCACCCATGAAGCTAAGCTGATAGCGTCGCAAAACAAACCACAAATAAATAAATAAACCACGAAGAGCACTGTTACTTGACATGTCGTAGGTCGCCATCATATATTTACAAAATGTGGAATATTGGCTTATGAGTGTCAGCAAGACAGAAAACCACAAAAATAAGCCATATCTTCACTTTATTCTTACATTTCAAAATATCCCAAGAGTTGTCAAGAAATTATAAAACTACTTTACCGGGTATTGTTTATTCATCTAATTCTGAAATATTTTTCTCAGAATTATAAAGAGACTTAAAGGCTGTAATGATACAAAGAAGCACATTTTATTTTAACGTGTCACCAATTGCTTTATCTTCGATATTGCTGTCACTAAGTTTATTTAAACTTGAATATAGAGAAGTCTTTTGGACCAAAAATGGTAGTTTATAATTTCATAAGTCGCCCCAGTATCGCAAACGTATATTTATGTCAGGTTCTTTCTTACGAAGTTTCTAAACTCTGAAGAAAAGATCAGTTTCAACGGTTCGCGGCAGAAAACGCAGTAAATTTGACTTTACGATTTCACAGTAATATAGACAAGCGCTACAAGTTCAGTATCCAATTTTAAATACGAAGGAACTAGACCATCGAAGTATACCACCATGGGTAGAAATTAAAATTACCGTATTTTAAC